TGTGTGGGTGAGACTAGTAACAGCCTGGGTTACACTGTATCCTAGGAACAAAAAACGGTTATGCTATTGCCCACTACAATGAATGTGTGAGTGAGAATTAAACAAATGCAGGGGGGCATTAGCATTTGATTACATTCCTCACACTGAAAGGAGGCAGCTGCAGAGATACTGAAGGGCCCTGATGGGGCAATGCAGAGTCTTTAAGCTTCAAAGGGGCCACAGAAGTCCCTCCTTCATATCCACATGTGATGATGCCCTTGTGTTTAATGAGTGTTGCGTTGCACTCAGCAGAACCATACAGCTTTCACACACAGCCTCAGTGTATGACACAGGATATCAACAAGGGGTCAACCTGCGTTTCACAGTTACATCCGACAAGGTCACAGCACCGCATTTAGCTCAGTTTCAACACTGCAGTCGGATCAAACCTCAATTTGCCTGATTTTTTTTTTTTTAATGATGTGCATCACTTAAAACAGTTACTCACTTGATGTAATTTCTCAGATAATATTTCACATTATTGAGCAAAATTCTTGTCTGAATAAAACCCTAAACTTTTCAGAAATGTTGAACCAAATTATAATAATTGTAAATCATAATACTGGCCAAACCTTGTTGCAAAATGCAGGTAGATTATGTAACTTGATGGCATGTCTCTGCTTTTTCCTATAGCCCCACACATGTTTTAGTAAACCAATTTGTGTTCATAGGTGCTATAAAGTTATTATTATTATTATGAAACTCCATCAGGCATTAATTTGCACACTCAACATTGATATTGTTCAGCCTGACAGAGATTTATGACCCAGGTTTTTTTGGAGCAATCATGCACAGTGTGATATGCACTGAACCTGCAAGATTGCCAATATCACACAGTGTGTAGGAGCCTTAAGCCAAAAGCCAACTGCACCAAGAACCTTCCACAAGATGACTAGTGCCATCAAATACCTCCTAACTGGGCTAACTCCCCATGGTGCAAATGTTTTCTTTTAAATCCAACACCTATGGTTAAACTATTTGTGTGCGCCCTTCTTTTTTGTAGACAACATTCATTGTAATCTACCATGTTCCTAAGCACAGGTGAATCAAGTGTGTGTGCATTTCCTCATAACCTTCTGTTAAGTTAAAGCTGTTGTATCTGACTGTAGGCAGAGCATGTTTTTGAATGTTTTGATTCGGTTAGTTTCAGTGTGAATAGAAATGTGGGTTGCTGCAGAGGCCCACTTTCGCCCTCAGGTCTGTGATACACCCACATCCACCTAAGAGCGAACCATCTGTGTGTCCCTGATGGCATGCTGGCACTCTGGCTGTCGGGGACAGGGACACAGACAGCCTGCTCCGCATTGCCCCAGCCGCTGCCTCTTCTTCTTCCCTCGCTGCCCCGCAGTTTGCTGCAGTTTCCTCTGCGCCCGGGCTATTTGTGCCATGGTAACTGTGCCAGGCTGCCAGCTCAGACACAGATTCCACCTCTCGTCTCCCTGTTTGCCAGAATGATGACTCAGCAGCTCCTGCAGGGCTCCCAGCCTCCTCCCTCCTCTTCCTCAGTGATACACTATGCTCATCAGACAAAGTAGTGTTTTATCGTTCTCTCCTTCAGCGTGACCCGAATACAAAACTGACCTAAGTAATAAAGACTTATACTTTTGTTTCGAAATGTCACAGAGAAACAATAAATGGTAGTAGAATGTCACGTTTGAAATGACACTTGAAGTTATAGTATAATAACACCTCAAATGTATTTAATTGGGATTACTGTCTACATGCTTCTCTAGAGTGGGTCCTTTTGTACCAGTCGCATGATTTTTGAGTGACGTCCTAATCATCTTGTGCTTTCCAAGATCCCCCTCTTAGAGGGGATCACTGGAAAGAGTTTGGGTACGAAATATGGCGTCATAAAACGGGAGCCTTGATATGTAAGATCACTTTCAAGTCCCTCCAGCAGCACTCAGCTGGAGCCAATCCTGACATACTTTTCATCGGGCCAACTATTTAGCTCCGGCTCTTGAGCTTAATGTGGTTTCTCCATGTGTAAGGATCGTGCTTATGCATCTCAGGCACTGATATCGTCATACTAAATACCAGTGGTGGGCAAAGTATGTCGATTATTTACTGAATTAAAGGCTTCATCCATACAAGGTAGTCGATTTTAAACATAGTAGTCTTCCATTTGGTATATAAAGTAAAGGAACAGAAGTCACTGAATATAACATATTACTATACTTGTATCTTAGTACTGCACTTGATATATTTTCTCCCACTGCAAATCATGGACTCCAGACACAGAATTGTTAACCACCTGCCTGACCTTTCACAAAGAGGGAGTAAAAGAGAAGTGATGCATTGTAAAACAAAAGGCTTACATTGTGTGAAATAACAATTGTCTACATTTTAAATCTTCTATAACATGTAACCCTGAATGATACTGTAGGAAGACACATTGGATTATTAATACCAACAGCAGTACACATGGGAGAATATATCTTTTAATTACCATGTGGTATTTATACTGGTTTCATATTGCAACACCACATCAGAGGATATAGGAAGAGGGAATAAAAGAGAAGAAGGGGGTTGAGACAGATACGGGGGGAAATGAGAGCGCACCCTTGGCAGGATGTCAGCTCTGTGAACACACAGTGCACAACACTGCCAGAGAATTCAATATGCAGGGACAGAGAGCACACACACACACACACACACACACACACACACACACACACACACACACACACACACACACACACACACACACACAGCGCCATAAAGTTGTCTTCTCAGATCGCAATCGGTTGTGCAGATGCTAGCCTTGCCTCTCTTCTTTCCAAGAATCCTTTCTGAGGTTTCCAATGTCAGGGCTTGTGCTGGGTGTGTATTCATCAAGCTAAGCTGTTAGCTGGCTTAATGATATGTTACCAGCTAGCTGTGCGTCATACGTGGATAGATGTGGATTAGTTTGTGTTTACTGTAATTGCAAAATGAGCTGTGTAGATAACAATGAAAACATTAATTTGTTAGGGCATGGAATCCCCTGATGCCCCAGGATGCAAAATGACCGCATTATAGTTTATTTTATCATTAATAGAATAAAAACATTGCTACCAGACGCGCGTGTGTAACGATTACAATATTGTCACCCAAAATATCGCAATACTATTCTGATCATTCTGAATTCACGTTGAAGATCACACAAAAGCCCTTACTGTTCCTCAAAGCATTGACTTCATATTTGCTGTGTAGATAAAGACAAGCACATAACAGAAGCGCTAAGCGGCTTGGACATGATGTGGCTCACTGCTTATGAAAGCTTATTAAAGACAAAGTGTCTGCGTGGGAGAGATGAACTGAGACAGAGATCATTTTAGTGCCCCATGGAGTGTCTTTCAGCTGTAAATGTAAACAAAATGCAGCCAATCATTAACCTAAACTAATTGCAGCCATTAAACGGAGCTTCATGACATGCTCTACTTAGTTAATTGAGGTGAGTTATTGACCTGTCGGCGGCGTGTGAGTCAGGGTACCGTGCTGTTAGTTTTCTTCTACATGACTGTTGTATGAGTCAATATATAAAGATAACCAGTCAGACAGAGACACCTTTTCTAAGTGTTATCCCCAGACGATTGTCTTTCCTCTTCTGATTATCTCTTTATCCTGTTTCCCCCCCCCCCCGGCCCCTGTCTTCCCTGTATCCTGGCCAACCGTCCCCCACCAGCATGGTGCCCTTCTTCCCGCTCTCCCCCTGGGCCCTGACACCAGACACCTCCTTGCCCCCTTCTCCGTCCCTTTTTCCTCACTGTTGCAGCCCAAATATCTCTCTCGCATTGGCCCCGTTCTCTACCCTTCTCTGACCCACTGTCCCCCAGTTGCCCCCTGGCTATACCTCCCTTTCCTCTTCATGCCCTCCTGCCCGCTCCCTGCCCCCATCGCTGCTCCCCGGTCCAAAGGGAGCAGACAGAGCTGCTGATTATCTCTGTGTGGCAGCCTCTGTTTTGTGCTCTGATTAAAGGAGCAGCATGTGGTCTGTGTGTGAGCGGCTCGTACAGACGCCGCCGTTGGGCTAATGCTAGCATGATGTGCTTAATCATTTATGTCTGGGAGACGGGCACAAAGGCTTGGAGCGGATGGAGGTACAGGGGGGCGCTGGGGTATTTATCAGTGGCACAGATGCACTCAGGCGCGCACACACATGCTTCCGAGATAAGGGCCCCAGTGCTTAGTATGGCATAAACGGGGCACGCTGCAGGCTACGACGTCTCCACAAAACTCACATATCATTGTTTTAAACTGGGTAGCTGGCGGTGTATTTCTCCCTTGAGTTGATTGTGTGAATTAAACTGGTGGGCTGTTAAAAATCTATCACTTTAAAAAAAAAAAAAAAAACATATCAGCATGGCGTATGTGGACTATACTGCAGACGCATTAAATATTGACGGATCAGACTGTCTCCAGGTCTCTAGACGATAGTGTTTGGGCTCCCAAAGTCCCCCCACTGTGCTCCCCTCCTCTTCCTCCTCCTCTTCCTCAGTCGTCTGTCTGCTCCTCTCCCCTCACTACCAAGCAGCCTGTCCCTCCAACACACACAGACTGCGCAACGCACGCCCGCGCACACACACACACAGGCAGCCAATAAGAGAGCACCAGTCTCCCCATTGCTTGCCACTCAATACCTTGTTGCCAGGACAACGGGAAGGCATGAGACCCACTTTACTTTAGCATTTTAAACTTGGTGTTGACTCTTTTTCTGAAAGCAAGAAAAAGGTTCCCCTGTACCACTGCTCTCTCGTTTAATCTCGACATAGAGCAAGTTATCTGTGTTTCTTCTGTCTGTCTCGCTGAATCGTGTCCCAAAAGATGTTTTACAAAACGTCCCACGGTATTTGAATGCGTCAGTTTTAAAAAGTGGCTATTTTTTGCTTGAGAGCAGCGTCAGACCCATTTTGCATGCCAAATAACACATGTTAGTGCAGAACTAATCTGTGTTTTTCTTCTTTATCTCCCCTTAGGTCTAGAATGATGGTTGGGGACATGTTTCTCCTGGTGTTGATCACCCTGGTGCTTCCCTGTTCTTGCTTGGAAGGTAAGTGTTTTCCCACAAACACAGCTTGTCTTAAGTTCATGCAGTAGCTGGAAGGGTGTGTACAGCATGTCTGTGTTCCCTCTATATTCTTTTAGTTTTTTTTCCACTATCACTACCCCTCCCCAGTCTGTCTCCTTTTCATCTGCTGTCTGAGACAACTGCAGTGGTGTCTGAATGCAGTGGAAAGAGGCAATACTATGGCAATCCACACTTGCCCCTTTTGCTTTTAATAGATATACATGCATTGCTGCATCATATGGGGAAGATATGCAATAAGCCATTACATTGCTGCATATCACAACAACGATACTACTAATATAAACAAACAGATGTTAAAATGTGCTCCATTCAGATTTTTGAGTGCTTTTTTGTATACTTATAATGCAAAAATGTGACAAATGGCTTATGAAAGTACAATGAAAGGTCTTTTTTTAAGTGCAATTTTGTACTAATCTTCTCTAAAAAGAATATAAGTACAAGCTTTCGTGGTGAAAGATGATGATGATAAAAAATTGATGTATTGTGCAGCCCAACATGCATTCTTCCAAGATAAGGGATAAGCACCAATCATCTGTTGTCACAAAACATTTCGGAGCATGTTAGAGATTAAAATCCTTCTTAGCTTCAGCTCTCGTTTATTTTTCAGTAATGAATTCTGACCTGCTCTGTGATTGCTTTTTATTGTAGATGTCCCTGTGAGGAACTCTGAATGTGTGTGTGACGGAGTGCCCTGCAGCAGCAGCAGGGACCGGTGTTTTGGGCAGCAGTGCTTCACCTCTCTTTCCATACTGAACGGGACAGCCACCTTCCAGAAGGGCTGCATTGTGGGTAATGAGGAAGGGTCCTCGCGATGCGGAAACCCACCAACTCCTGAGCTGGTGGTAGAGTGCTGCAGTGGGGATTTGTGTAACATGAACGTCTCCTTGCAGTCACCAGTAAAAGGTATGTGAAAAATATCCTGCTTATAACACTGTAGGATTTTCCTTATTTCTGCTATAAAACAAATGCTGTTCTTTTGAAAATATGCACTAAAGTATTATTTATTTTCAGTGAAATCTCATACTTTTAAACTGACTTGATGTGCCTCTTCTGTCAGCTAGCAGAGACTCTGGTGTTTGCTGATCTGAGTGAATGCCATTTAATTTAATGGGCTGCTAATGGTATTGCTCTAATGTGTTTCCCCATATCTCTATTTCCTCTTATCAGATCTAGAGCTGTCTGCTGGCAGACCGGTCCTCAGAGACCAGGAGTGTGTGTGCGAGGGCGGTGTGTGTGAGCTTGACCGCCGCTGTGCAGGCCAGCACTGTTTCTCCTCTCTGCAGATGACTGATGGGGTGGCCGTCCAACAGAAGGGCTGCCTGAGGGACGACGAGGAGGGCAGAGCCACCTGCGCCATGCCGCCCTCACCCGGACATGTTGTCAAGTGCTGCCAGGGCCATCTGTGTAACATGAACGTCAGTGTGCAAGCTCCGGGGAAAGGTGAGTTTGTACATGTTGTACACATAGCTCAGCTGCCATTCACGACGCACCTTATGTCACCCACAGCAATTTCAAACTTTCATTTCAATTTTTATAACGACATAAAAAGCTATATGCCTTTTTTTGTAGAACCATCTTTAAGTGGACCCTTATAATATGGATAAGAAGAAGAAAAACATGGACAATCAACAAACTGAACAATTATTACAATTATACATAATAAAGGATATGATTAAATACAAATGACAAAAACATAAATTCACAGCCAAAAATCAAATGAGTTAGTTTACAATAGTGCAGGAATAACCTACATAGTTTCCTAGTTATTAACCAGCCATGTGTTCTTCCTAAATCTCTTTCAGAGGAGGAGGTGAAGCGTCTGACCAAAGAGGAGCATGAGTGTGTGTGTGAGGGCAGCACTTGTGCCACAGGGAACCGCTGCCTGGGCCAGCAGTGTTTCTCCTCTCTGACCGCCAGCGCCGGATCCCTCATGTACCAGAAGGGCTGCTTCACCAAATATGAGCAAGGCACCATGACCTGCAAGACCCCCCCTTCCAGAGACCAGATTGTGGAGTGTTGCTATGGGCACCTGTGTAACATGAACAGCACTGTGGAGCTGCCTGTAAAAGGTACAGTGCTAAACTACCCAGAATGATTTGTTCTGCACGTCTCTATGCCAAAGAAACCCATTTACCCCATTTCGGACAATTTCATCAATTCCGATTAGGAAAAGCCATGTGGCTTAATTATGACTGTATGACACCAAATTACAACTTTGTATTCTTTACCGAAAGGGCTTAATCTGGGCTGTGAAATATTCTGCCACTTCTGTTCAGGATGTTTTCTGTTGGCCTTAATTGTAGGTCACACTGCTGGCTCCCTTTCACACACAAACAGGGAAGGCAGTGTGCAATCAAAGAGAGGTTTTGAATATGATCATACAAAACACCACTTTAAATCTTGTCTTTACCAGAGATGTGCCAACGTTCCTCTGAAGTTATTAATTTGGGATGAAATAAGCATTAATCGGCTATAAAGAAAATGGGAAATGAGTCGACTAAAAGGGGCCAATCCTATATTAGGGTCTAGCTTAATGCATCCCTGCTCATTTGTTTGGTTCAAGGCTAGTGAGTTCCTACAATGTGTAGCTATTAAAGTGTATTTGGTAGAAACAGTTAATTATAGGAGTTGAGAAAAGGGGATCATTGTCTGTGCTGCAGGCAGAGCTGAGCAGGCGTTCCCTTGGAATGTTTGGAAAGTGTGAATAGTGGTCAGTTCTCCAGGCTGGCCTCTGCTGCCTGGATGAGATTCTGCACTGAATGTGTGGGAGAGTGAGAGAGTGAGCGCTTGTGTGCTCTGTATTCACCCCCGCCCATGATTGTTTTCATCAGAAGGGCTGCAGAGAGCTGCATCCTGTGCTTTGTGTCTGTATGTGTGGTCCTTTTTACACACTTAGTGGTTATGATCACCTCTTCGTGAATCATTGCTAAGAACGCTCGCATCTGTTGTTTACTCAAGCTCCCGGTCGTCTTACGGATGCAAGCCAAATTTCACTTGTAGATTTATCTTTTGTTTGAAAAAGATATTCCCAAAAGATCAACTACTGTTGCATTTAACAGTTTTCTCTCCCCCCACAGCAGATGAGGTTCCTAGCTACAGCGTGACGACTCTCACTATCGTCATCGTTGCCCCCATCATCGTCCTCATTGTCCTCTCTGCTATCGCTATCCTGGTGTTCAGACGCATCCACAACAACCAAATGGAGAGACTAACATCACGAGACGCGGAATACGGAACTATCGACGGTCTCATAGCCTCCAACGTGGGGGAGAGCACTCTGGCGGTGAGTAGGTGGAGACCATGTCGTAGGTTGCCTCCCAAGCTCATTAGAAAGAACGGTAAAGAGCAGCTGGAGGCATATTTGAACTTACTGTGTGTCGAGTATCAAATGGGATTCCAGTGCTTTTAGCTATGCTACAGGCCATACTGTAGATGTTATAAAATGACCTTTAGTGAGGCACAGAATGTCAGCTGTGAGAAAGAAGTTTGACTTGCGTAGATTGATGTTTAGGTAGAAAACACTGTACGATCAATACATTCAAGCTTTATGAAATAGTTCAATTCAGCAGTCCAGAATAGCACAGCTGAACTGTGTCTGGTTTTTGAGTATTTGGTACTCCTTTTGTAGGAACATTTCAAACCAGGCATAGTGGCGACACATTCATGAAGTTTGTGTATGTGGGTTGTGCTGTTGCTGGAATTCCACTCAAAACTTTGTTTGGAATCTTCTCAGTCCGTTCGATGAATGTTTCTTTCCTATTTATTTTCCTTCCACTCCACTGCGTAAGCTTTCTGCAGGGTGGTTTATGTTTTGAGGCCGGCTAAACTGATCCACAGTTTAGGTGGAGTCCTGTGGTTAGGGTTCAGCCTGGAAGACAACCCTGCACATTCACTGGCTCACACACTGTGTAATCAAGTTCAGCAGGAACTCTCACAGCCTAGCTCGTGCCATAACAAAAAACATGGCTGTTACTGTCCATTTTGTGATCATTTAACCTGAGAAAACACACTATATTAAAAATCAGTTGTATACTTATTTACATCACATTCATCTTTAATTATGACATTATTAAATATAATGTCTAACTCTTAAAGATTGATCATTGCTTTATATGTGTGTGTCTGAGAACTAAATAGCTGATATTTGATACATTTTTTTGTTTTTCCAAAAGTCCATTAATGCCCTTTGCAATGGAAAGAATAAATATAGCGACACAGCATGTGAGAAAGCATAATTAAAGAGTTGTGGCAGCACCATGAGAAAGGATATTAGCAACAGTGGTGTGGCTGTAAAAAGCAAATCAGGCTGACACACGTGCTCGTCCCTCTGCAGCCCCCCCGCCCAGAAGTGGACTCTGATTATGATGATATTTCATCGTTCTGATTGCATTTCTGCTGCTTAACGGCCCGGCCCCAGCATAACCTCCTAAAAACAATCCTCCTGCCCCAAGAGAGGGATTTAAGCCCTCTGCAGAGCAACTCATTCATTGTATGGCCTCTCATTCCTGTGTTGTGATTCCAAATGGTCTCTCAGGCAGCTTTTGCAATATGCATCTGTTTATCTGAGGCATCACTCTTCCCTGTTGTTTTCCTCCTCCTCCCCTCCCAGTTTGTTTAGCTCAGCTGCTGCCGTCTCAGTTGCTGCACACTGCCCTCCTGTGTCCGCACCGCCATGCTGCATGTCTGAAGCTGAGATCAAAAATAAAAGGCTTAGCAGCATTGCACCTGTTTTCGGAGTCTGGCACTTCTTTAGATACAAATCTCCAGCACCCACAACCGTCATCAGGGTGGGGGTGGCACTTCTGTTGTTTACTCAGCAGGGGGCACACACACACACACACACACACACACGATCCGGGTAAACGCACTGCTTGCCCCCCTCCATCCCATGTGGGTGCCTNAATCTATTACTTGTTTGTAAAAGTCCTCCTTATCTTCTTGTAGTTTCAAAAGTATATAATAAATCTAATCGATAGATTTATGATTCGAAAATTATAAAACTTTTATAATTTTCGAATCATAAATCTATCGATTAGATTTATTATATACTTTTGAAACTACAAGAAGATAAGGAGGACTTTTACAAACAAGTAATAGATTTTTGTCCAGAAGGATAGCCAAATGGACTTCATCTTCAAGTCAAGGTAAGACCGCAATTTTATTGAAATGGGATCTTACTAAGAGAGAACAATTCAATATTTAAATGATAAAATTACATTTTTTGGTTATCCTTTTGTTGAACTGTCTGTTTAAAATTAATCGAAGCATCAGACAAAAAAAGCTTTTGAAAATAATATTATATTTTGATTTAGGTCAAAATATAATACTTGTAAACCTGAAGAGTCAGTGCCTCAGCAGCCATGAACCTCACTGCACGTCACTGCAGAAGCTTATAGACATCTAAGTCTTTTGTGCCCCACCACTTTTGTACATGTAGAAACGCCACTGGACATACTGAATAACTAACTAACTAACTAATTAACTGACTTGACTAATTGAATAACTAACTAACTAACCAACCGACTAACGGT